TTGATAGTCCAATTATTCAAGATCAAAGTATTCAAAAAGAAAATTTGATTAGCATATTTCCTTCATCTGGTAGTAGTTTAAATCAACACGGAGAAATTAATTTTATCATAGAAACTTGTGATCAATACTTCTACTTTCTACTACATAAATCTTACATCTACTTAGAAGCTTCTTTGACTAAATTAGACTCTAATGCATTAAGTGACACTGATGAAGTTACATTGACTAATAATGCTCCAATGTTTTTATTTGATAGAGCAACTTATAGTATGGATGGTATGCAAGTTGAAAATATCATTGATCCTGGAAGAGCTTCACTTATGAAAGGCCTCCTTACTTATTCTTCCACAATGAATAAACAAAATACTTTTGGTTGGATCCTCGAGACTAAGGATATCATGAATTATAAGATAAATAAATACACTAAAAATAGAAAAGGCTTACTTACCTTCTGTATTCCACTGACTCATATTTTTGGCTTTGCTGAATGTTATAATAAAATAGTTTACGGAAGAAAACACACTCTTTCACTTTACAGATCACCAGAAAATAAAAATTCTATAACGTCCACAGATCCTACTAAATTTACTGCTAAGATGACTATTAATAAACTTCAATGGATAATTCCTAAAATTATGCCTAGTCTTGAGATGCAAAACAAACTTCTTAATTTATTTGAAAGTAATAAATTAGTTCAAATGCCTTTTATTTCTAGACAATTTGAGAGTTATAATATCCCAAATGGTAATAGAGAATTCACTTGGAAACTTGGAACTAAATATGACAAAATAAAATATATTGTTCTCTCTTTTCAGACTGCTAGAGATAACAATTATCTGAATGCTGCTAAATTTGATAATTGTGGACTTGAAGAAATTTATGTTGAACTCAATAGTGAAAGGTATCCATATGAATGCTTAAAATTCGACTTTGATAAATTTAATGCAGTCCAACAATACAATTTTGCAAAAGAATTTAGAAATAGTTATTACGAGTCAGTGAAGGATTACATTTTCATGGAAGAAGATGTGTATTATTATTATTATCCTTTATTAGTATTTGATGTTTCAAAACAGAATGATAGAATTATTGCATCTCGACCTGATGTTACAATAAAAGCCAGCTTCGCTAAAAACATTGCTCAAAGTACTAAATGTTATTGCCTCATTTTGAGTGAAAATGTTGTTGAAGTCAAAGATAATAGAGTTAAGGTTGTCAGTATCTAAGACTTCATATCACTTTCAAGAATCCAAGAGTTAAACTTATCTGGATATCCATACCACTTGACAAATAACTCTTTTACTTTGTTTCTAGTCCTATGTTTCAATACTTTCTCGATTTTGAACTCCTCTTTGGTATTTTTGTAAAGTGTAAGTTCTTCTTCATAAAACTTTCCTTTGATTTCTTCATCTGCTAAGTCTTTTATGGAATACATAATTATCCCATCTCTTCCAGATGGGTGAACTTCAGAAATTTTGAATTGTTCAGTACTCCAATTAGGTAGATATCCTTTATCAAATATAGCTTTGTATTTTGTAATACGAACAGTATCATCAACTTTGAACTTCGAGAATTTTGGAATTTCTTTTGGAAATAAATTATTGTAGACTATGCTTTCATTTTCTATTTTTGAAGCCTGCGTGGGAGTCATTTTAATTGAAGTGTGATAATGATTATTATATCCCCAGAGTAAATCATCGAGGATTGTTGTCCATTTATGATTTCCTTGATGAGTAAACATTTTCCACATCTTTTCTTTTAATGTTCTATTAAACCTTTCGATAATAGAAGCTTTCTTATCTGAATAAGTTGAGAAGTGATTAATTTCTAATGATTTGAAAAGCTTATTCATATTCGCATTATAATATTCTTTACCATTATCAGTTTGCATCTTTTTGGGTTTTCTTTCTTTAAAGATACTCTCAAGAGCATCTGCAGTTTCTTTACCACTCTTTGATTTTAGAGGCACTACCCATGCAAACTTACTAAAACAATCAATGATAGTTAAAAGGTATTTATAACCTTTATTTTCTTCTTCATAAGGAATCATTTCTACGAGATCAGATTGCCATTGTTCATCTATTGCATTAATGTAGACTCTTTGTCTCTTAAAATTCTTACGAGCTGGTTTGTGTAAAGTGTAAACATCTTGTTCATTTAGAAATTCTTTGACTTTTCCAATTGGAAGCTTTGTTTGACGCTGCAATTCATTGATACCATAGAATCCTGTTTTTGGAGAATAATAAGCTTTTTCTAAAAGATCTCTTTCACCTTCGAAACTTGTGGATTGTCTAAGAATTTTAGATTTTTCACTAATTTTAACCTCCTTGATATCTCCTAATCCAGAACCTCCTGTGATTGTTGGAATTAGCTTACACTTCATTGTATTACAATCTTGGCATAACCCTTTTATCATAGAACGTTTCGAGCTTGTTTCAACATTAAATATGTCAGTAGTGTCAGTATATTTTTTACATTTGAAACAGTATACCAATTCCATAATTTAGAAGTTAAAATTTTTTGGCTACAAATATCTTGTTTGATTTTTGTGAAATGGGGGACGTTCAGTGAAAATGGATGTCTTCACTAGAAAGTGAATTCACTTCCACCTAGCCATGAACCCCAAACATGGCTACCTCACCTGAGGTATTAACTTTTTTCACTTGACTTCAATCAAATAAGATATTTATTTTACTTTTTCAAAATAAAACAAGAAGATAAAATATCAACGAACATGAAATAACAAAAAATTAACAACAATCAAATGATTATTCACTTTCTCCCCTTCCGGAGAAGATTCTTCAAGTCGTTACATACACTTTTTTTTTTCTCAGAATTTCGATTGCTCATTTAACATTTCCTGCTGAAATATATCTTATTCATTTAAATTCTTTGTTGTTATTCTGAAGACGTTCATAGTAGTTCGTTGAATCTTTCTTCTCGTTAAACATAATAAAATCTCCGATCATTGAACACATCTTTCACTGTTCGAAGAGATTCACCAATTTCGTTAAATTGATTTTGTAGTAAAACCTGCAAATAATGAATAATCTAGTGTATCAAACAGAAAAGACTTACAAGTTCTTTCTGTTCACTTTTACACTTTTTATGGAGAAGTAGAGATTTCTTGACACGAAAAGCATTCCCATCTTAGAAGAAAATATTGAACTTTGCTTGAAAAACATCTTCAAAATGAAATAACAACACAAAAACTGAAGAAATTCTGCGACGTAAATCGTTCTCAAATGATACACTTCGTTCTTTCATACCTGTTTGCCAGTACCTTCGAGAAGTTTCGAGTGAGACCAAACTCGTCGAGTTCTAGATCTTACAGATTGACCACTCTCTCTCTTTTTCTCCTTCTGTTCTTTCCTTCACTAGGTGAATGTCTTTCAGATCCTTTGGTGTGACACCTTCACCCTGCCAATTTCTCTTTCTCTCTGTGTGACCTTCTTTTCTCTTCCTCACTGTGACCGAGCACAAACACACGTTTGCCACAGTTGAACCAGACGCACGCGACGCGATACGCAAACGCGTTGGGCTAGAGTGGAAGGCAGAGACGCAGAGGAAAGCGAGAGACAGCCAGCATCGCATTTCTTCAGTTTTTTGTGAATAGAAAAGAGATTTTCTTTTCTTCTGTAGTTTGCGTTGTGCATGATTTTACATCCATAGCTATCATTGTTTTTCTCGATAAGTTTTAGTTAGGTAGTTAAGGAAACCGGGAAGGCAAAAGGATTTCTGTGTAAAAGCTAGAACCACCGATGCTAATTTTGATAAATCTCAGTTGATTTTAAGTAGAATTTCGAAAATTTGCATATGAAACACGCCAGAAATACTGGGAAAAAACATTTTCATTTTCTCCCTTTGTTTGTTTCCGAATTGTCGGGTTCCCCTTGTTGTTAAGTTTTGCTTTTTGTTGTCATAAAATTTACGTCCTTTTACTTAATTTTCTAAAGCACGTACAGTATTACGCCAATTAGAAGTAATAATTCTACTAAGTTGCGGTGCACTCTAACTGTGCTAATTTTTTTTCCGGAAATGGGCGCTTTTTCTTTCTTTCTTTCTATCTTTTCCTATCTTAAAGAGTTTGTGTAAACAATTAATTCTTTTTTTTTCAGATACCTCGAAATGTCGAAATGGCGCAGTCAATTCGAATCAAGATGATGGACAAGGAAAAGAACGTGGCATTGTCTGGAAATTTCATCACCGAAAGCTCTATCAGACACGCTTTTCTTCTTCCGCCAGATGCAATTGTGGAGTTGTCGTTTGAGGCCAATGGCATGCAGATTAATTGCGGGTAAGTCATATGTTGAATTATTGATGCTCTAACAAACCAAAAATCAACAGTTATAGCAAGTTTCCGGATTTTAAAGAATTCTGGTGGTAGTAACACACGAGTCACAAATTGCGCTAACAGAATTTAAGCCTTGTAAGAAAAAAAAAATCAAAAATTTCCGCGGTGTTTTATGTGTTTATAATAACTAAATTCAAATGATAAAACAATTTATTATATCAAACTTTTACACATTTAAGTTTTAGTTAGGTAGTTAAGGAAACCGGGAAGGCAAAAGGATTTCTGTGTAAAAGCTAGAACCATCGATGCTAATTTTGATAAATCTCAGTTGATTTTAAGTAGAATTTCGAAAATTTGCATATGAAACACGCCAGAAATACTGGGGAAAAAAAATCATTTTCATTTTCTCCCTTTGTTTGTTTCCGAATTGTCGGGTTCCCCTTGTTGTTAAGTTTTGCTTTTTGTTGTCATAAAATTTACGTCCTTTTACTTAATTTTCTAAAGCACGCACAGTATTACGCCAATTAGAAGTAATAATTCTACTAAGTTGCGGTGCACTCTAACTGTGCTAATTTTTTTCCGGAAATGGGCGCTTTTTCTTTCTTTCTTTCTATCTTTTCCTATCTTAAAGAGTTTGTGTAAACAATTAATTCTTTATTTTCAGATACCTCGAAATCTCGAAATGGCTAATACCATCCGTATTAAAATGATGGACAAGGAGGTGGAAATAGATTTGTCGAGCAATGTTTTGACTCAGAGCACCGTCAAAAGCCAGTTTCTGCTTCCTTTGGATGCAGTTGTTTCGTTGAGCTATGAAGTTAACGGTCGTCAGAAAGGATGCGAGTAAGTCATATTTTGAATTATTTCTGCTTTATTTCAATTAATTTAGAGTGAATGAAGCCGGCACGACGTTTTTGCTTCCGGATCGATGGCCCGCTATCCAGTTTTTCGTTGACTCGAATAAGGCACCTTCGCGTCCAGCAACGCCAGCAGATCAAGGTATTTTTTTAAATATTTCACACCTTTTATTGATTTTTACATTTTAAGATTTATTTTAAACATTGTCAATTTATTTATCAATTCTAGGTGCTACTAATCCGAAAAGGCAAAAACTGGACCCGGCTCCCGAACAGCTCCTTGTTGATGGTGATTTGGCCGCTTCTATTGGACAATATGCTCTGTTTTACAATGTGAAAAGCGACGACTACAAAAGATGCGCGATCCCGTTGAGCACGAAACTCGCAGCAACATTTCAACATGGCGAGAACAAAAAGATCAAAATAGGTGTGTTAGTAATGGGTTTATTTTAATTGGCTATTTTTAGATGATGAAATTGTAATTCGCTCGTGGTCGGATGAGAAGTTCAATGTAAAAACTCGTGTTGTGAGAATCATTGAAGAACTCGATGTGATCATCTTGAAATCGGACGAAAAAGATTTGTGTAATCAAAGTTTGCCTTTGAGTCCAGTTCCGCCTCAAAAAGGAATGGAATATCTGATGGTAATTTTTTATCAAATGAAATTTTTTCTAAATTACCCTTAAAAACACTTTTTTTTAGATGGGATTTTCGATTCTTCACAACAAGACAAGCCATCTTTCACTGTCTGCCGGAATCATCGCTAGTGATGTGAAGCGAAGATTTCGATATACGGGATCGAGTGGCTCATTCAAAGGAGATAGTGGTGGCGGATGTTGGAACAAAAAGGGGCAATTAATAGGAATGCAAGTCGAGGTGGAAAAGGTGGGGCACACGAAAGATGACAAAGGACGACCTGCATCTCCTGCATGCGGAGGTCGTTGTTGTATCGTCGCAGTCTATGATATTCTCGTGGCGATTCGGGTAATATTAATTGTTATTTTCACTCAAACAATTTTTGGATTTTAGGATTTGTTGCCACCGGCCGACTCTGATGAGGAATATGAATGGAACGAATGAATTTCTTGATCTTCTTTATCGGTTGTTTCTCGTTGCTCATAAAATTTCTTTTTGTCTAAAAATTATTTTCTTTTTGTATTAAAACATTTTTCTCGGGTCACAAATTATTCTTTTTGGTTTATTGAAAAATTCCCCTTTTTTTTCCTGTCGCGTTCTGAATTCTGTTTATAAACATTATGTGTGAAATTTAACACAAAAGCAAAGAAAATCGGTAAAGTATCTCGCATGAAGATTCCTCTAAAGTTCGTGAGTCCTAGAAGGTCTACCAATTCTAAAAGATCAAAGTTTGTTAATGCCTTTAGATTTTTATTGAATCTTATTTTCATCATTTAATAGCGATAAAATCATTGAAAAGTCTCAAAATTCAAAAGTGGGCAAAATGGTCACTTCTACGTCCAGCCTAAAAGTGACGTTTTTCAAAAATGACTGATTTTCGATGAGCTTAGACACTTTTTTGATGAAAATAAGCCTTAAAATAGTCAAAAAGTGCAAAAAACGTCATTTGGGCAAAATGACCGTCCAGCGTCAACCATTTGTATACTACTAACATTTTCTGATCTCTATTCAACTTTCACGATTTCCCATCAAATCAATCCATCAAAATCGCCCGCTACCAAATTTTTTATTGTCGAAAATCGGCTGATCTGATCAAAATTGAAAAAGGAACCGCAATTTGCGCCAAATCACTTTTGAGCGGGTGGATTTGATGTGTACGTACCGAAAATTTTTCTGTTAATGAGCAAATTTTGAGAGATTTGATCAGATCAGATCAGAGTACATTGAGAAAAGAGCCTAGAAAGTTGGTGCTAATATTTTTTTTTTGCCAGATTTACTAACTATAATGCCGACTTTTTGACCTTAGCAACTTTGAAACAAAGCGTTTTGACCTTTGCGGGTGGAAAGTTTCATTTAGAAAACCCGTTGAATATGAATTTCGAAAATAACATCATGTTCTTAATTCCAAAATATACAATACCCAACTATTTTCTGGTCAAATATTAGACATTGGAGTTCCGCGTTTCCTGAGGTGAGTTGTTCCCTTTTGAGGTGGCCAAATTTGAGACTAGAGCTTTCTGATGTGACATGGCTTGCGTTATTTCATTATTCATACAAAGAAACGGGAAGTTTCCCAATGAAAAGAACATTTCGTTTCAAACCTTGTAACTTCATTTTATTTCAAGTTGAGTTGAGTTATCAATAATACTATTCTCCACTCAGTCATTTCTCTTGGAATAAGTTGAAACGCGTTCTTTTTTCAGAGTACAAAATGGTGCTCACCAGGGCGGAAAAGGCAAAAAACGATGAGCAAATCATCAACACGGCGATCACTTGGGAAATTTTAGAGGTAAGGAATGAAGAAATTCTTGCCAATTTTTTTAAGCATTGAACTTTAAGCAGAATTTGTAATTCTAATTTCAAGGAAATCCCTGAACAAAATGCATACCGTAAATACTGTAATTGGACCCCATGGGGTACTATTTTTTCCCTCCCCCTCTAGGGTGGAGGTACTATTAGAGGGTGGGGCACTATTAGAGGGTGGGTCACTATTTTACACCACTGTTCAAGTTACTAAATCAAGATACATTCAAATAATTTTTTCAAAAGCAAACTTTTTCTTTAGTTTTTATTGGTTTTAACCATTTGAAAATTTAACAAAACTAAACAAAAACAACTAACAAGCGAAATCAATAGAAACATCCGAATCAATAAATTCATCATTTTCTTGATCATCAATTCCTCGATGTCCTTGAAATTGCCGTGGGTGCGAGCGGCCCCAAGAGGTCCTCGATTTCCGTCTCTGTCCGATTTCCGTCTCTGATCTCTAACACCAACTTCTTTGGCTCCAACCATGCACTTGCTCGTCGAAGCATCCAGCCAAACCGTCGTTTCATCACAAGCAACAATGTGCTTGTAATCGCCTTCTTTGATTGTCTTGTTCAGCCTCAGAATGTGCTCGACGATGGCCTTCTCAAATTTGCTCGGCAGCTTTTGACAAGTTGTTGTTGGTGCCCTCAAAGAAAGTTGGTGACGCCTCAAGAACGACTCCATCCAGCCATGGGTTCTTTTGAAAGAAATTTCAGCTTTTTTGAATCGATTAGCCGCTTCATTCCGCTTTAAAAGAGTTGTTTGTAATTACGCGTTAGGTGGGGGTGGGGTACTATTAGAGCGGTGGGGTATTATTTTTTCCCTCCCCCTCTAGGGTGGGGTACTATTAGAGGGGTAGGGTCCAATTACAGTATTTACGGTAGTTGAGCCTATGATTAACAGTTCAAAAAATCAAATTTCCAGTACGATATGCAAAAAGCGTTCGGAAGTCTAGCGAAAATCGGTGAGAAACGAAGCGCTCAATTGATGGCTGACGGGAATGTGAGTGTTTTGAGGAAATGACGGTGTAATGGGAAGGAAATCTGCAATTTATTCGGTCTTTGAGTTACAAATTAGCTAATTTAGCAAGATTCTGGGTTGTGAAGTGACAAGTGTTTCAAAGGAAACGGGATGTGAATAGAAAAGAAATGTGCAATTAGGTTGTTCTGGTTAATCTAGCATTGATCGATTGAAAGCACAAAGTACAATTCACCTATTTTAGGGTTATCTTTCATACATCGCTTTGGTTGTTTTTGATTGGACGACTGATCGAGATCTTCTACCCGAGAAAGCCGTGCTAAAGGTTAATTTTAAAGAGAATCGAGTCGACTGAGGAGGCTTTTTGTCAATTAGACTTATAAAAAAGCAATCAAATTAAAGCATTAAACTTCATCTCGAAATAGAAGGTTATTGGCATTTAATAAAATTCAAGTTTCAAGTTTGATCGACTCAAAAGAAAAATTGATTGGCTAGTTTTGCCCTGATCGTACTTCATTGTCAAATTAAAATCTAAAATTGAAATTTTAACTGAATCCCTCCAGATCACCTCTTGCGACAAAATGGAGATTCTGATCAAGGAGGTGCCGGGATTTGAGATGGATAATGTCAGAGAAAAATGCGCTGCGGTGAGAAATTTACCCAAACTCAAGGCATTGTTTCAAATCTCACATTAATGAGTTTATTTTAAATTTTTTTACTATCCAGGCCAGCGACAATGAGCTGAAATTCTACGAAAATGCCTTTAAAACGCTGAAATTTTCCAACGAGCTCCGCGTGCCGCAATTCTTTTGTGGACGAGATTTTGGCATTGATGGAGTGGAAGCGGGTTTGTTTCTAATTTTAAAAGATTTGAATGAACTTTTAACTTTAAGTCAAGCTATTTACAGTTAAGAAAAGTTATTGTCAAAATACCAAAAGCAATTTCTAGGCTATTTCGCCATTGAGCACTTTGACAACGTGGAGAATCGCCATTTCTACAATAACATCCAAGAGTCGGCCGTTTTAGAGATTATTCGACAATTAGTCATCATTCATACGCATTGTGAGTACAATGGAAACAAGTTGGCTTTGAAATGAAAAGTACTACAAATTTGTAAAGTTTGAACTTGGTAGCATCTCTATTAAAGTCGTCAAGTTAGACCTGAAAACAGATCCTTTGAAACTAGAAAATTTTAATCGATGAAGTAACCATTTGAAGCCTAATTTAGTCACAGATATTAGAAATAAAGCTGTAATTTAGAAAACATTTCAATAGGTTCATTTGCTAACGAATTTCAGCCTACAATCATCCGGAAATGATGGGGAAAATGGACGGGAATGTGTACGAACAACTCTATGGCGATTTCGCCGATATAAAGGTTTCATTTTAGCTACTTGAGATTTATAAATGCTAATAGTTCAATGGCTTTAGTGTACTCTGCTCTCCGAATCCCGTAAACATTCCCTTTCTAGCGCACTCAATTCTTCTATTTTCCCCACAAAGCAACGGTGTCTCGAAGGAAAATAGAGGAATTGCGTGTTTGTGGGAGAGCACAAAGTGCACACCGAACTTTTAAGTAGTTTAAGCTGTATTTAAATTTCAGAAAATGGAGAAAGCGATCCACGAGGCGGGCACAACGTATCCAGAGCTGAAAGAGAAATTGGAAAAGCTCAAATCCCAGCTGAAGCACTTTACGAATTGGGAGACCTATCAGAAGAAGCTGCATGAATCGTGTGAGTAAAAACTGAATAAATTTCAAGTTTAACGGCTAAAGCTTCTGCTTTGAGATCTGAGTCTCTTCTGGATTCGGCTCTATCCCAGAATTGGGCACATTTATTCTATTGCTGAACGGGTAAAGCTAATGGCTTGAAATAAGCAAGAAAAAAGTAGGCCAGAGATGGGAATATTACTGCGAGCTATGCCAAGATTATGCTGTCGAGTCTCTGCAAAAAAATTCGAGCCAATTCGTTGTGTTCCAGGCAAGACCCGAATGTTTTGCCACGGTGATTTGTGGACCGGGAACATGTTGTGGAGGAAGGATGAGGCGGGAGACTATCGAATGTTGGTCATGATCGACTGGCAGGTGGATTGACTGGGCAAATAGCTATTGTAGATCAATAGTTTCTTGGGGTGAATAGAGTTTACTTCGGCATCCACCGCAGGCTTTTGTTTGACCTGATTTTCATCATCTGTCAGTCAGAATTGAAATCTCGAAAATGCAAAGGATCCTTGAATTTGTAAGTGATTTTAACGGTAAACCCACTTATTAAGGACCTTTGTTTCAAAATGATGAATGAAGAAATCAAGCAAAGCAGTCCATCGCTAATTAGCAAGCATAGAAATATTTCAGCTCTTAGTTTTGAACTTCAAAATTAGCACCGAGCCTAGCAGCAAATGAACCAAGCGCGAAAAGCTCTTGTAGTTGAACGTGTCTCCTTTTTTAACCAGTCAACCTTTGCAGCTTTGCCATCTCGGCAATCCACTTGATGATTTGGCCCGTTTGTTGACGAGCGCCATCTCGAAAGAGAGCTATTTGGAAAGGTTGGAAAGCTGGGATTTTGTAGGAATTTTATTTTAGACGAGATTTTTACTTGGAGACCTATTACAAATGGTTCAAAGAGAACACGAGTGGACACCCAATGCCCTGGGAATCATTTGATGAGGTGGCATTGATTGGGGAAGTTCTATATTTATCTTTTCAGTTCTTGAAACAGTATGAGCACGTCTTCATTTTGACAACCGTCATTTTTGGCCCGGGTTTAGCGAATTTCACGAAGTTCCTCTTCGAGAAATGTCGAGGTGAGCTTGGGGGAAAGATCAGGTTTCAAAGAGGTCGGCTTAAAATGAAATCGTGTACTGTACATTTCCCACGTGTACATTTCCCAAAGTAAAACTTAACATGCTGGTAAATAGGTACCAATGAATCAATTATCTAAGCTGGAATTCCGATTACAGTGATGTGAATAGTATCAGGCTGTTCAGAAAATCTTTTCGTTCCTTTTCGTACTTCCATTGAAAAATCAAAAAAATTCACGAATTAATCTACGGTTTGCTCTAAAGAAAAAGTGTTTATTGTTCGATTTCCCATCTTTTTAAGTCAATTTAGGTTCACTTTTAAGCAATTTCGAGTAGGAAAACACGTGTTTTTCGTAAAAATCTATAAAAGCCTCTACAAAGAAATTGGTTGATTCAATTTCTCCGAAAATTTGGCTATTTACCAAACCTACTGTGCTCTATCTCTTATCTATTGACACGAAGATAGGTTTCCTTAGCTAAAGTGCTCTAAACCTTAGCCTTTTCATTAGCTCTAAACCGCATTACCTTTTTGACTACCCGACCTCACGCTCCTCACCAAGAAAATCCAGACATTTTAAACCCGTTCTAATGCTATTTTGCAGAAAAATAATTGAGTTTCTAATGAAAAAAAACAATAGTTCAATTAGTGCATTGGTTGCTTTTAAACGAAAGTACGAAAAGGAACGAAAAGACTTTTTGGAAAGCCTAATAAAGATGAGGGACAAGGCCTTGACTCACTGGTTGTGAATACTTGCATATCAACAGGTTAGGCCCAAAGTTCACCGTATTTCTACCAATTAATTCAAATGTATTTTCAGAAGAGGAAAAAGTGGAAAAAAAGAAGAGGAAAAAGTGGAAAAAAGTGGAAAAAAAGAAACCAGTGGAAAATGATCCCAAGGCGCTCGTCAAAAAACTCGTCAACAATCGAACTAGTCGACGTTAGTCAAGCAAACTTTTCATGAACATTCAGATCAAAAATTCATTTTTACTAGAATGTAGAGGAGATTTAGAACTTTTGAATAGTACATAACAGTTATCGATATCTTATCGCCAAGCTGAGAAATGTACAAAAGTGTAAAAACGGTGATCTCTTTCTTACCAATCTAATAGAAAACTTCAAACGAGAAGGCAATTAAAGATCATTTATTATATTATATATTCAATAAAAGGTATTATTATAGAAGACCTGAAATTAATATATTTACGTAATAAAGGGAAAGAACTTTGAAAAACTCTATAGCTTTGACCCATTAATTCATTGAAAAAGTTTTCTTCTTTCAGAGGATTTTTTTTGGCTTGCAAACCGTTCTGAAATGAGATTTTGGGCGAAAAATTTGTACAAAAAAAAGAGGTTTTACAAAAAAAAGCAACGTTTTTTAACTAGCATACGGTGGTTTGTCAAATTAAAACACTATAAGGCTATAACCCAATGAAATCGTTACATTTACGCAACATTTTCCTTTCATTTAAGCGCAATACTATTAAAATTCTATCACAAATCTCATCTAAAAGTGTCTAAAAACAATTCTACGAGGATTTAAAGTCAAAACAACTGTCCAGTTGTTTGGAACATCACGAAGAATGAAAAAAGAAGATGGCTGTGTGTTCCCTGTGAGCGAGCACAATCGCGCTCGATCTGGCATACGACGCCTGCGGATATACTTCCTTTCCGCCTCTCAAATCGGAAGCGTCCATTTTGGGTCATCCGGTAACCAATCCGTTGTCTGCCCCATGTGGTCACCGCTTCCCAAAAATTAACCTCGGCTGTAGGGCTGGTCAACCCAGTTCCGGCTCATTTTGACCATTATGGCGGGTTCTCTGTCGGTCGGAATGGGATCCCAAGTGCCTGTAAAAGGGTGCTGAAGGGAGCCGCTGTGAATTTTGGATTCATCCCAAGGATTTCGGTCCGCAGGGGCAGCAAGAAACTCATGAAACAAAACGAGTAAACGGGGTCAAGCATTGGAAAACACTAGAGATGATGTTGGCCTAAAATCGCTGTTTGTGGCCTGAAATGGCCTAAAATGAAGCTTTTTCAAAAAACAGAAGCTCTTGCAGCTTAGTGGCTGGAAGGTAATTCTTATATTAGTTTGGAAAGAAAGTTCGTAGAAGGCTTTTTACTCGAACAGTTTGCTCTTTAATAAACCAAACATAAAACCATCAATTCATTACAATTATTTTGCATTATTATTGGCAACTTCTACGTATTTTAGAGTCAATTTGCGGATCTCTCTTTCGTTGTAGAATTTGAGTTTCTGTGTGAGACAAGTGTGAGACTCAAAAATGGAGGACTGGAGATGTCCCAGTTTCAGCACTTTCTGCAAAAGAAATCCATTTTGGTGTCAATGGAAAAGTTGTAGAGAATCAAAAATGAAGCTTATATCCAAATTTTCAAAACGATTCAAAAACTGGTTTTCAAGCAATGCCAAATTTACGAATTTCCACAAAACTTGCATTTTAAGCGAAACCACTAAGTGTATCTTTTTGGGAATTTGGCTATAAGCCTAATTTTTGATTCTCTACAACTTTTCCATTGACACCAAAATGGGTTTCTTTTGAAGAAAGTGCTCAAACTGTCACATATGACAATAGCCCGCAGTTTTCAATTCACCAACCCAATAGTACGCCAAAAGTCTAAATATTACAAAAATTAGCTCAACCTGCTTTAAATCCAAAACTCTAGTGACTCCATTTCTGGAATGCGTGACTGGGGACAAAGAGGCACAGATCGAACAAACTTGTGGACTATCGACTCCGAAAAGTGATTGCAGGTTGGACAGAACAAAGAAAAACATTTTGACAGAACATAGTTTAGTGAAAAAGTGAAAATCATGAAGTGTCGAGTGATCGAAACGGGGAAACTCTGCGACTCGCTGAACTCGACCAAAATAGCGGTCAAATTTTTCAAACTGATCGTCAAGCATAGGGTTTGTTGACAGAAATTGTATATTTTAACAAATCAATGTTTTTTGAGTTATCCAAAAACTATTTAAACAGCTCTCAGCTGAAATTTCAGCTCTCTGAATTCGCTCATTGTTCCACGGAGGCTTTAGCGGCACTTGATGCATTGAGTTGAACTCTACAAAGCGTTTCCTTGAATCTAGTAGACTTTTTGTGATGTTAATAAAGTTTTGCGTAAATAGAAAAGGCTAATACAAATTGATAAGCTAATAGAAATGAGTCTGCTTGGTCAATTCTGAATTGATGATGTTTTATGTTGAAGGTTACTTATTCGAGTAGCTGAACAAAGTAGTGACAAAAGGTTGAATGAATCACAAAAAAGGCTGATTAATTACACCTCAAATGTCAAAAACTAGCAATCTAAAAACAATAAAGCCTTTTTTTACAATGTCGACTTATTTTTAAAGTTGATCTTAAGTCAACTTTGATGATGTAAGACACTCCTTAAGATTAAGTAACTTAACTTAAGTTCACGTTCTAAAACCGGGCTCAGGTTAAGAGATTTTGTTCCACTCATCCGTTTGTAGCAAACTCAAGTTCCATAATTGTTGAATAGCAATAGTTGTGAGATTCGCGAGCAACCAGAAGTCACTGGGGACGAGATTATCTCGAAAACGTTTCTACTTGCATGTTTTCAATTTCATTCCTTCAAGCACTCACTGTTCATAACAGCATTAAACTAACATTTCACAAGTCTACTTTATTTCCCTGTAATCAACAATCAAGTGTTACTCGTGAGAAACCACAAAAATGCGAAAGCACAAAACAAAACAAAAAATGACCCAAAAACGATCCACTCGCCCAGTTCTTGCAAAGTTTAAAATTGTTGTCCTTTTATTTCTATTTTGTCAGGTTTTTCCTAACCCGTAAACACCATTTTTGGCTGAAACATAAGAACAGAAGAATTATAGATAGCTAGATTTGTTCTATCTAATCAAGTCGATTATAGCTTACACAAACAGAACACAGACTGATCTTTTGATA